AATAGTGTCGAGAGTGTTTTCTGCATATACAAACGTGTGCCATGAATATTCACGGTGTTTAAATTTTGCAAACCAATTTTTGCTAATTTTGATAAGTTCGTTTTAAAAACAGAAATATATTAAGTGTTTATTTAATAAGCCCCCAATGGATGATACAAATTATATAGGAAAATATGATGGTGTTACATACAGCACAAATACATTTCGGAAATATTTAAAAAATATTACATTGAAACATTTGTAATGTTGTATAAATATTACGAAACATTCCAGAAATATTTCTGAAATGTGCCTGAAACGTAAAAATGTCCTGTAAATATAATATTTCACATTAATATTTCTGAAATAAACATTCGAAATCTTTTAGAAATATTAAATAGTAATATTACAGAAATGTATTCTAGCTTTTTTTTTTCTAAAATATTATCTAAAAAAAGACATTTATAAATATACATGTTTATTTAAAATACACAAAATTCAAACATTGATTCTTAAACAAACAAACAAATAATTTTTAAACACATCATTTCATAAAATATAAAGGCGAATCACTTCATTTCTACAAATTCCTTTAAAAGTTATAATCTGAAACAAATAGTTTTTTTTTAATAAATGCCCCAAGTAAAGAAACATTTACGATTATTACAATCTGATCATTAAGATCACTTAGCAATTTTATTCTAATCTAACTTATCAAGGGATGAAAAACATCATAAACTAATATTCTACTCACTAGTATACCTTAGAATCTAATTATTTAGTTACACTTCCGTTAACGTATAACACAACCGCATTATACTTTGCTTTAACATCATTGAAATAACTCAAAAGGCTTGGTTCTCTTGAGTCTTCTTATTAGATTGGCATTGTTGAGGAGCTGAATAATCTCAAGGTTTGGTGATTACTGGCAGATTTTTGTATTGTATATTCAACAGTCTCCACTTTAAGTATAAGTATTGTGGGAGTACCAGGGTACATCGACGATGTTCCTTAATACTTTATTCTGGAAACGTTGAATAACTTTGATGTTACTTTTACTAGCACAGCCCCAAAGCTGGCGAATTGCTTCATTTTCACCAATTCCTTTAAATGTACTATCTGAGCAAATTATAGGTAATTAAAAAGGTCTATTAAGTAATATTGTTTTAAATTAACTATAATAAAACAAACAATACTCATGCCTACACAAGACATGAAGCTCCACTTTTCAATTAGCTGTAGAACTAATAAATAAGACTGGTGGAGGGACAGAAAATGTACGTTATATTTAAATAGAAATAAGAATATAAAATGCTTATAAATTTGATAAAAGAAATGGCGTCACTCGTTTCAAAGAAGAGATAAATTTAATAAACCTAACCTAAACAAGCATTGTAATACTCGCCTCAATTTCTAAAGACATTCTGCCTATTCTGCTTCCCATATAACAACAGGACAACGCATAAATAACAAAAACCGACAACTCAAATCTATAATTATTTAGAATAACATAGGGTTGTCTCTGACTGGACATAGGATGATGGATGAAATAAAATAATTCCATCTTGATCTTCTTACAAATCAGAAATTATTTATTAAGTTTTGGACTTTTACGACATAACCCGTTTAGTAACCTTTTGTGTAACATGTATAATATGTTTCAGAAACATTTTCAGTGAAATATTTAACTAAAATATTTCAGAAATATTTCTGAAACTTGTGCTTGAAATGTTATATGTTTGAAACGTTTGAAATATTTCTGAAACACTTCTGAAATATTGTGTGCTGTATGGGAATTAAGTGATAGGAATCATAAATTAACATATTGCACACTAAACTTATCAGTTACAGTTGATCCTCACAAAGAATTCTAGTCGAGAAATTTAAAAAACATGAATCGTGATATTTTAAAAGAAAAGCTTCTTTTGATAACATTGATGATAAGGTTGAATTTCTTAATAGCACTTTATTAAAAATTTTTGATACTTTAGCCCCAGTTCATTCTATTAAATTTAAAAAACCTAACCCACCTTGGTTAACCGATAATGTTAAATTGATGATTAATTTTAGAGATAAGTCATTTAACAAATTTAAATGTACTAAAAACCCGCAGCATTGGGATTATTATAAAAACTTTAAAAAAATACAACTTGAGCTATAAAAAATAAGAAAAAGGCTTATTTAGAATACTGTATAAATATAGTCGAAAGGTAATAGTACATTTTTTGGAATAAAATTAAAGAATTTAATATAGCTGGGAAATATCCCAATAATTCCTGTTAACCTTAATAATCCAGATGAAATCATGGGCGTCGTTACACAATTCTATAGGGAGGGGCAAAATTTTGAAAAAATTTAGTATGTTTATTTATTGAAAAACAAACAAAATGAAACATAAAAGAGAATTTTCTTATGATGGATTTAATTATTCTGTGACGTCATGGCTTACTTCCGGTTTTTCCAGAAATAACAGAAAATCGCAATTTATTTTTATTTTTAAATGAAAACCCTTTTTCTTATTGAAAATTTGAATTTCTGGTACATTTTTGTATAAGAAGCGTGTATTGAAAATTTTTTCAGTACCATATTAAAAAAAATATGTTCCAATATGATGATCATTTTGACAGCTGACAAAAAATTTTCAACACATGATTCTTATCCATAAATGTCCCTAAAATTTAACTGTTCAATAAAAACGGGGGTTTCTATTTAAAAATTAAAAATAAATTGAGATTTTGTTATTTCTGATGAAACAGAAGTAAGCCATGAAGTCACACACCAATTGAATCCAGTATATGAGAGTATTTGTCCCAAACTTTTAAACAAATAAGTTTTTATTCCAGTATCTCAATTAACAACGAAGATAAAAGCGGATAGAATTATTAAACGGTTTGCTAATAGTAAAAATGCTTAGATACGCCACTAGTATACGGGAAATGGGTCTCAATGGGAATTTTGAAGCCTAAAAAGATTTTATAAAGTTCGTATATTCCTATATGTTTTTCCATAAACGAATTAATAGTAACATATTTAGAAAAAATATTATCCAATATGGCGACCATTTTGACAGCTGACAGAAAATTGTCAATAAACGATTATTATACAAAAATGTCCCAGAAATTTAAATTTGCAATAAAAAAGAGGGTTTCCTTTTAAAAATAAAAAAATCTGTTATTTCCGGAAAAATCGGAAGTAAGCCATGACGTCACAAAACAATTGAATCCATCATAAGAAAGTCTTTCAAACAGTACAAAATTAATCCGATATCTCACTGAATAGCGAAGCTAAGGGGGAGTGGAACTGTAGTAGTAACGCTAACAATGTCACTGACCTATTTGACAGAACTGATACTTAAGTTGTCATAACAAGTCTCTAATAAATAAAATAATCCAACAAAAAAAGACAAAATAAAAGTGTATGGATTTATAAAACAAGTGAAAAAATTATTAATATTATTATTATTATTATTATTATTATATATTTTTATTACTTGAGCTAAAAAAAAATAGTATAATCAATAAAAATCAATAATTAAACATAGGTAGGTATTTACGAGAAAATGTATGAGATCTTGCCTAAGCCTAATAAGTTATCATTGAAGAATAGGTTAAATAACGTCAAAATAAAAACACTACTATTATATAATAACGTAGAATTGAAACGTATTAACAAAAATAATTGGCATATTTTTAGTTCGAAAGAACCCATAGAAATTAAAGATTAAAACTGGTTTCCTATCAATAAGTCATAAGATTGCATTTCAGCCATAAACAATAATTAAAGGCAGAAATCTAATCATTTGCTAAACATTTAAGACTTAAGAGATGTTGAAGAATATCATAAAATAAAAATTTATTGTTTATTTAAAACCTTTTCTGATGTCTATTATTTCCAATATTACTGTTATTATTACAAAAATTAAGGTTTTTTTCTTCTTCTTATTATACAGCTGTCTATTTATTTTTTTGATTTAATTTCAATTTTGCTACTGAAAATTTATATAATTTTTTAATTTTTTTATGTCTGGATAAAATTCACAATGTTTGGATGCTATATCATTAATGAAAAGCTCATTGTGTGTAGAAAGCTCTTTCGTACTCCAGTTTGATATTCAGCTTCAAAATTGTCGATTCCAAATTTTTCCACTACTTTCATTTTCTAATCGGTAGTGAAAAAAGTATGTTTTTATGCTTTTGGGATGCAACAGGCTTAAGGAAAATTAACAGTCTTCGGAAAAGCGTGATGTAAGCGACGTAATAAGGGAATCCAGATATCGTCGGCCTAAGATGCAAATGGCCTAACTCCACTTTTTACCAAAGGTACGTTTTATTGGCTAACCGGTAGTTAAAGATCTGTACTGTCGATTCGAAATGGCCTGCCAAGCCTATTTTAAATATTCGCGCCAAAATTTACATGACTCATTTTGTATAACCCCTTTACATTAAGATTAGGTCTAAAAGATTTTTTGCGTTTCCTGAAAAATTTATATTTTAGGAGTTAAGCCATTTGCATCTTAGACCGACGATATTGAATAAATATATTCAACCTATAATATTCTTTAACTATATTAGCCTTAATATTATTATTTCTATATGAGATTGTTGTTCGTATACATAATCTTACGCATTTTTGATTAAATCGCTAAAAGCCAGGGGGGGGGCAGCTGCCCCCCCTTGCCCCCCCCCCCCCCCCCCCCCCCAAACGACGCCCATGGATGAAATTAATCATTTTTTAGGGCTATCGACACGTATTAAAGAACCAAGTAGGTACTGATCTAATTGAATTCTATAACCGAAAGGATAATTTACTTTCTATATTTTCCTTCAGTGTTGTCACAACAGTTCAGTATTGCTCTACTTTGGCAACGGGCAACAAGAATAATGTATAGAACTTATTCATATATAAAACTTCAACGTGCAATTCCATGCAATTGGATCGATTCCTTTTTTAATAAAATCGCGCACCATCGTCAATTAACCCTATAAACTATTCTACCAATCTACTAATTTGTTTTGTTTCAGGAGTTGAAATTGATGGAATCCATTCTGATGAAACGAATTCAGGTGATAATTCTAACGCAGGATCCAGCATAGGTCCGGATGACGACCAAGCCCGGTTGAGGCTGAAACGGAAACTTCAAAGAAACCGTACTTCCTTCACGAACGATCAAATCGACAGTTTAGAAAAAGGTACCTTACGATTTTTTCACCTAAAACCGTTCTGTAGATATACATACAGTGAACGACTAAATTATGGAACCAACTCAATTTTTTAAAAACTGTCGAATTAAAAAAAAATTCTGAAACAAGTCGATTTTTGTTTTTAATTCGCTATGTCATAATCTGCATTTGAAACCGATTACGTCACCGGTGTTGGCGTGATGACGTAATCGTAGTTACGTGGGCACACACAGCTGACATTTAGACATCTTATTCTATTTCAAATTTTAATCTTTCATGTTAATTTCCTTCTTCTTTGTCTTCTTCTTCTTCTTCTTCTTCTATTAAAATAATCGCTACTAACACGTTATTTAATTCACAAGAAGTCGTTTTCAGCAATATGTATCAACAGAACAAGTTGAACTGACTTATATTCTAACAAACATAGGCGCCGGAACTCAAAAATTGCTTTGGGTGCCCGGCCTTCATGGGAGAAATCTGGCTATCATCCCCCCACCCCCCACCTTCCACAACCACCACCACCCACCTTTCACAACCACCACCACCCACCTTTCACACCTCACTTAAAGGCATCACCTGTTTGTTAAAAGCACTTAAAAAGCTATTTTAAAGCGCTGATTTTATGAAAGTTTTCTTTAAAAAAAGGTATTTTTAAATGTCCAATTGCTGGATAGGCTGGAGACTCCCACCTAAATCGGGATATCTGACAACCCTATATGCTCGCTGGTATTCAGTGGTGCTGCGGTGTTAGAGTACCAATGAAATAAGTAGAAACACAATATAAAACATTTATTAACTATCATAAATGGACTTCCGATTCGGACATCGTCGTGGCAACATTGAAATGGCGATCTCCGAATCGGGAGCCCAGAAGTCCAATAATAAACCACTAAATATCTAGTTTAAAACTGACCATCCGACTTTAATTATAATTCTAAATTCAACCAAATATTCTGTGCCAAGAATACAGAAGAATATTTAAACCAAATATCAAGTGCTGTGGAAGAGTGAGGACAGAAGTCCGACGCACGAGGGTGCAGCTTTTCCACATAACAAAATTTGAGATAAAAAATAGTGCTGGGTAAATAATTCGGAAGAGTTGAGCCCATATAAAGTTAAAGAAGAAGAAGAACTATCATAAATTTAAAAGGAGATTTTTGATTATTTATTAATACACATATAATGGAATATTTTATATATACAGGGCAGCCGTTTGAAAACAAAACAGCCAATTTTGGGCACTCCAGGTCATTTACGAAAAAACGCTTGGACTCGTCAATTTTTGATTTTAGGGGGAAACATTTTTTTGCTAGTTTCACCCCCTGAACGGAAACCCTCTAGCGGGGATGAAACTTACCCCTAAAATCTTAAATGGAAAAAGAGGTCGAATAATAGCTTATTTTGAAGTTACTTTTACATAGATTAAAACCCCCAAGTTTAAAAACGCTACTGTCTTCCTAGCCATGATCTTTTAACGGATTTTTATTTTCTGTAAAAGCTTTCGAGTAAATGCTGGAAATGCTAACCCTGGGCCTCCATGCAATAACAGAGGTTTTGTTCAAAACGCTGTCGGACATTTTGAAGCATCTGTGGGATGATTTCATGACATTCATCAATTATCCGTTGTCGCAGATTTTTTAGTGATGTTGGCTGGGTGACAAATTTTAGTTTTCAAGTTGCCCGATAAAAAAATCTAACGGGCTTAGATCCGGAGACCGTGGGGGCCACTTAATACTTCCTCTTCTTTCGATCCATTGACCTGGAAACTTTTGATCCAAATACTGACGAACAGTGGCGCACCGTCTTGCTGGACTATTAAGTTGTTTGCTATATACTGATCGTCATTCTCGATCAATTCTATTAATGCTGGATAAATGGAGTTTTCTAATATGTTCAGATACATTCCTGCGGTTAAAGTTCCAGGTAAAAAAAGGGGCCAATTATACGGTTACCAAAAATGCCAGCCCAAACATTATTAGTTTTTTCGGATGTGACATATGCACTTCCTGAAATATTCTGAGATTTGAATCGGACCTATAACGACAGTTGTGATGATTTACCGTACCATTTAGAAAAAAGTGGATTCGTCTGAAAAAACACATGTTGAAAAGAAATTGATGATCATTTATTGCCCGTTCAGTCATAATTTCACAAAATTGTAATCGCCTATCAAAATCATATTCGTTAAGTTCTGTTATCAGATGTATTTTGTAGGAATAAAACTTGTGTTTTCTCAATATCTTCTGAATGCTTCTTCTCTTAATACCAGATGTTATCGCCAACTGTCTTGTACTCTTAATGTGGATTCTAGAACAACATGCCCTTAAATTGCCACCTCCGTAGCTTCATTTACTACGGCATTTTCCATTTCACGTTATTTGTTAGCTACTGACCTCGTTTCTCAAAATGTTTTGACTAATACCAAAATATACTTTCGATTTAAATTTAAGGAATACTCGCCCTGTATATGACGCTAATTGCCGATAGCAATAAAAGTTGTGTAATGTTCTAAGTATTGTAAACGGCTGAATCACCGAATGATTCTTTTGAGGTTTTTGTTAGAGAATGATTTGTGTTGAGTTGATTATAAACCGTTCTTTCGATCAAACCTTTGTTTTATTTTAGTATATTTATTTCAATCGAATATTTATTACAAATTATTACAGTCGATTACACGATTTTGATGTTTGTTGAATAGTTGGGCAGTTCTATTAGCAGATTCATTGTTCGCATTATTTGCACCTTCTCAGCAATTGAGTAAACCATTATCACTGATATGCCACTTTTATGACAAATCTACAACGAAATAAAATAAACCTTACTATTTAACGGCGACCAAAGAATGTCATCTAATAACAATAATTGATAGTCACCAAAATAAAATTAGAATTGTTACAAAGAATTCTTTTTTTTTTAATAACTATGTAAAAATGATGTTAAACCGGTTTTGTACTTTTGGTGAACCACTGTATGGGCTGGCTACATAGATAGTAGCGTTATAAAACTTGGAGGTTATTAGGTATCTAGGTAAAAATATCTTCTAAATATAATATCGTTTGACCCATCTTTCCATTTAAGATTTTACTGGTGAGTCTCACCCCCGATAGAGGGTTCCTGCTCAGGGGGTGCAACTGGCAAAAAAATGTTTCCCCCTAAAATCAAAAATTGACGGGTCCGAACGTTTTCTAGTATCTAGATGACCTGGTTTCTCGCCAGCACTACCAGTGAGCTGTTTTTGACTCTTAGGACCAGTTTTTCAATGAAAGCTTAAACTGAGTTCAGCAAATGAACTGAGTTTAATTGAAAGATGGTGTATTTCAAATGTAGTTCATGTCTAAACTTAATTTAAACTATCCGAAAAATTGAACTGTCAAAGTTGGGCGTTTAAACTAAGATCAATGTTTTGACACTGACATAATATAAGTATATTTCACAATTTTTTTTACATCTTGTGTTCGAAGTAATAAATGAAGACCATGGTGAAAATGCTACATATTTAATGCATATTAATGTACCATGTACCCAAGAGAATATGCAAAGTTTCGTTTGTCTAAGAAAACGGCTAACAGAATAATTAACAAAATAGAAGGAGGACTTATAGATAAAAACATTTATAATAAAATGTATTTTATTTTCTAGAAATAATGCTTTAACCTCTAAAGTCATGGTTCTGTTAACTATATGATTTGTTGCATTGATATCCTTCTTAATTACCACCACCAAGTAGAGTACATAAGTACAGAAATTAATTTTTACCCACAATTCTTCTTCGTTGCTCGAAAAATTGGCGGTGCGTCAATTTTTTTCCATTTCGTAGAATTTTTCACATTCACTGTCAATGAATATGTTTTTAAAAACGTCAAATTGACATAGAGCATTCAGTTTTGTCAGAAATCCCTCGATTCAGAACTACCAATATAAATTGAACTTAGATCACCTGAACTGTGATACTAATATGATTAAAAAACGCTATTGATGGTAATCTCAGTTCTATGTTTGATCCAAGTTCAGGTGAACGAAAGTTTAAACTGTGATTGAAAAACTAACCCTAAATAAACGTTTTCTTCTAACTATGCTTCATCGGGAGCAACTTTAAAATGTTCTCCCTTCTCCCCTTAAACATTTGCTCAATAGCATATGTACAGAACTCGTCTTGATAATTGTAGACCGTTATTACTCGTTCTTTTTGACGTCATAGGGTTTTATACACCAAGAATAATAAACCCTTAAGTCCAAGTTCAACGCGCTGTCTATAACAAGTCACGGCGACTTTTTTATCACAAAAAATACAGCTCCGAACGATATTTTATCGAGGCATTCTGTCGCTATACCAACGTCAGCTTCTTCGTTTCACTTATTGGCACTTTTTGTCCACGTTGTGCTATGGGTGCTCCGCACCCAGTTCAAAACTGCTCTAGGTGCTTGCGCACCCGAGGAATCGGCGCCTATGCTAACAAACCACTTTTACTAAAACTGACGTGAGTTGAACGCGACAGATTCTGCCGTACACGTACGTCGAGCGTCGCGCACTCTCCTAACAAACCGTAGCTTAAATAAGCTCGTCGAAGGGATCATAAAAATGTAAAAATGTACAGTGTGTTTGTTCCATTTAGAATAAAGAAGTTTGGTGCAACTTCTGGTATAACCGGAAACGGCTGGTTATCTAAAATATTTTAGATCAATAGAGCGTCCCCGAAAATCTCTCGTACCCAATTACAGTCGAATATAACTCTTAGTTTATGAGATATAGCCTGGATAAAAAAATGATGATTTGTATTTCAGAATTCGAACGCACACATTATCCAGACGTTTTCGCAAGAGAACGTCTGGCAGCAAAAATCGGATTGCCTGAAGCCAGAATACAAGTGTGGTTTTCGAATCGAAGAGCGAAATGGAGACGGGAGGAGAAATTGCGAAACCAAAGAAGAGGATCGTCCATTCCTACTGAACATCCCGGGCCTACCGCATCGCCGCCCCGCTTGCAGTCCTTCTGCAATACCACCATGTATTCCCCGATCGCACCTCCGATGTCTTTGTCTGACACCTATAGGTAATAATGACATCTATCTACAACCACAGTTCAAAACTCACTCACTTTTTTGCATAGTTTTACGTTCGCAAACTTGATCATTTCTCGAGGTAATTGAAATATGACATAAAGTGATATTTTTCATAATATTTATTAGTATTAAACAGTTCATTATTTACAATAAATACGCCAATTTATTTTATAAGTAACTAAATTTATTTGTGCCAAAACTACACTAATTTATATTAAACACTTATGTCCTAATTTATTTTACAATATTTACAAAGGGAATAAATAAATTTAACTTAAACTCAAATAGCAAAAATTCAGCTATTTATACAGTGTGTCCAATTAAGGGAACCATATGGGAAACTTTTTTAATCCTAGTTTTATGAAAAAAAGTCATTCTTTATTAAAAGTGCTGCATGATCCAATAATTAAAATGCAACCATCAGATATTATTTTTTTAAGCCGTATACGAGGTTTTGTCAAAATATATGAATTTTGCTGAAAAGTAAAGTAGCTTTATTTTTGACAAACCTCGTATACGGCTAATAAAATTTGATATCTGATGGTTGTATTTTAGGTTTTAGACCATGCTCGACTATTTGTGAACAATAACTTTTTTTCTAATATTAATAATAAAAAAAGTTTCTCATATGCCACCAACAGCATTTGAAACACTTCTTTTTGACCGTTCGCCATTGACGACTTTCTTTGCGTTCATTCATATTTCCAAAACCAACAGTAGTGTCTACTGTTTGTCGATCTTGAACATAACAAGTACCACAAAACTACAAAGAGAATCGGGACGCTACAGACTCAACTCGGATAATACAAAAAAGTCGTTAAACAAAAACGGAGAGATGCATAGTGAGATTACTGCGAAGAAATCGAAGATTTCCGCATTCAGAGAGCTCTCTCAAAAGGTCCACAGTGCAGTATTGGTAGTGATGCCGCGAGACGAGAGATTCTCGTCTCTCGTCTCGTCTTGTCTCGTCTCGAACGAGACGAGAGAGATATTTTCTCTCGAAAACAGATTCGAGACGAGAGAGTGTCATCTCTCGACGAGAATTTCTCGTTTCTCTCGAGCTCTCTCGGGCTCTCTCGAACAATTTTCTCTTTGCTTATTTGAAATTTTCAATTCCTTATCGTAACTTAAAATTTTAACATATTAGATTTCGAGATAGTCAAAAAATTAACTATAACACACCTATTCCATATATATTAAATGGTAACAAATGATACTTGTGTTATTAGGATTTTATAAATAGGTAGTGATTTATAAGAAAAAATATTTCTCATTTCATTTATTTAAAATTTATATAATCATTTCTTATATTTTATCCACTTTTTTCTGAGGTTACTTTTGAAGATAAGTTGAAAATTTTTAGGCATTTTTTCGAAAAACTGTCAAAGAAAAGGTAATACAAACAAATGTATTATATACAGTGAGGATGAAAATTGTACTCTCCTCTATTTTAACTTCTAAATGAAAAAGGATAATGACAAAACAAAAGCGAGGTAAAATTCAAGAAATATTATATTTTTGTTATAACGAGATGCACTTTACTTGAGACACGTAAGATAGAGGGAGTTACTAGCTTTAAATTTTCTAATGGAAAGTAGGGTTATGTGATACCTCGTTTGAAAGATATTTTCTATATTTTTACGTTCATGTAAACAGATTTAGGTTTTTATGTTTTTACAGAAATTACATTAAATAAATTCATAAAGTAGGTTAAATTCTTTTTTTTTATTTACGGCTTCAACCTCAAAGGATCATTACCGGAGGTATACAATGGATAATTAACATTTTGGCTAGTACAGAGTAAATGTCAATATCTTTTATAAATTTAAGTAATTTTTTACTGTTAAAGGGATTTAATACTGCACCAATGGCAATTTTTTATAGCTGGTACTTTGTTCTTATACAAACATGTTTTGGGCCTTTACTAATAAGTTACATTCTTGATAACTCTCGTATTAATAATTATTATTTATTACTAAGGAAACGCTTCTTGTATGTACTAACATAAATAAATGAAGAATATCAAAGGTGATTTAAAAACAATAAAAACCACTTGACGTATTAAATTTTTCATAACTTCTTGGCAAAAAAAGCTTATTAAAAAATTATCTCCTAACATTATGTAACATTTCTAGGATTATTGCGGCACACGAGGATTATCAAGAATGTAATTTTTGTAAAAACAAAAAAAAAAATTAAAACTGTTTGCTTGTAAATATAATTAAAACATCTTTCAAATGAGGTATTACATGACTTTACTTTCCATTAGAAAATTTAAAGATAGCAACGCCCTCTATTTTACGTCTCAAGTAAAGTGCATCTCATTATAACAAAAATATCATAATGTTTTTTCTAATTTCACATCGTTTTTGTTTTATGTCTTTATGTTCTTGCATTTTGAAAACATACTACAAAATGCTGTCATTTGACATCGCAGGTTTACATTAGAAAAATTCTAACTTCCAATTTAACCTCTTCCCCCTCCCCCACTGACTTACAAGACAAAGTATTTTTGTTTTTAGATAACGCCTAATCTGGGCCACTTAATAATTCAAATTTCAAATTGTAATACGACTGTGAGAGACAGATTTGGGTACAAATTACTTGAAGAATTTTTTGTTTTTGTATTACAAATGTTACCGTTTTTTTCATGTTTCGTCTTTTTCAAATTTAAATTTGATATTGTTTTATCACGAGAGAAACGAGACGAGACAAGACGAGAGAAAGGCTCTCTCGAGCGAGAGAAGCGCCTTCTCGTCGAGACGAGAGAACAGTTTTCTCTCGCCCTACGAGACGAGACGAGAGAGGCCATTCTCTCGTCTCGTCTTGTCTCGCGGCATCACTAAAGTATTGGTGCGCTAATCAAAGAGGATAGCATGAAAACTGCAAACCTCGAAGACAGCATCAAAGTTCTGTTATTTCCAGACGTGGTTGACTGTCTACGATTGGCAAACTGCTAAATACGTAAACGAAGACAAAATTAGATAGACAATACTCCATATTTAAATCACCAGGACCTGACGGTATCTATCCAGCAATAGTGCTAGTGTCAAACCGGGCTCACGGGGATTTTCATAGCTGCAAAAGAAGTTAATAGAAACAATATCATTGAAAGGAACATCCTTATCTGTACAAATAGCAGACAAGCACTCTCACCGTGGAGAGAACACGAATTATTTAGGGTTTGTAATAGAATGTCACTAAGCTTTGGCTGAAGTATTCATTAACAAAGGGAGGTCATCTTGAGATGGATCAAAGATCACGCCACATCGAAATGTAATCGTCTTGCTGATTCACTAGCCAAGAAGGCAGCCAACTAAATAGTTTTTGGACCTGGCCTTTCCATTGGTAATGACAAACCTATAAAGAATATTTCATTGTGAATTTCAAGGAAATATGTTATGAAACAAAAAGTTGCAGAGGGAGCTTCTTATAAGTTATATTTACAACACTACAGCAAATAAATACTTGACTATGACTAGACAGAATCTGCGCCTGATCACGGCATTCTGACTGGTCACTGCCAAGTACGGAAGCATCTCCATCGAAGATAAGCCATGGCCCATATTCTGTACGACTGGCAAACGCTATCATTTATTAGAAGATTTGTGTTCGGCGAGTATTGGTTAACACCGGCCGTTATAAGAGAAGAACCTCTTGGCGACGTTGTCAACTAAATCAAATCTAGTCTGGCGCACGAGTTAGGAGGTGCCTATCAACTTAGGAGGATGCACAATATTTCAAGTGATGCCTAAGGGTGCCCCTACATGTTACAAATACAGAAGGCGGACAGGGATTTAAGAGCATATGATCGGACTAGTCGAAAATGGCTGATAGCATACTATTCTTAATGTGGTCTAATAATGAAAGTTGTGAGTTTATTATTATTCAATTTCAGTACAATGTCCACGATGTCCAGTTTCGCGCACGGAGCGCTGACTTCGAGTATGGGAGCCTCTCCCGGATCGTGTTTGCAACAAAGAGAAAGTCCGACGATGGGCAGTGCCATGGGAAGTTACTGCATGGCGAGACCGAGTTATGACATCGGTATAGGATATGGATCAAGACCGTCGCCCTGTAGTCCATCACAACCATACCAAATGAACGGTCATCAATACGCCGTCAATGGTACGTCTTCAACAGGTAGTTCATTAATAATATTATCCTACTTACGAAGATTATTAATTTTTAATTACAATGAATGTTTATCGACTTTGTTTTAGGACTCATATCTCCTGGTGTATCAGTTCCTGTAGCAATACCTCCAGGCCAAACAGATATGGTTTCACCGCAACCCTATTGGTCCCGAATCCAGTGACCCTGGTGGAATTAAATAGCCAGTACCCATCCAATACCAGATTAACATTTGGCTGTTCGAATTTATTTCATTCTGCATGAATCTTTTTTAATATTATACTTTACATTTGTGTTCTATGTAGTTCACCAAATCCAAATATCAATAGCCAAATACAAACGTTCTAGTTCAAAGTGTATTGAGTTTTAATAAAATTAGTAGTATAGGTAGGTAAGCTACCTAGGTACTCCGCTCATATAGGTACCAAGAGATAAAAAAAATACCATTTATTGATAATATATCATATTCACGATGCCAAGACTAATTCGACAATTAATACGCTCCATTTGTAGGTCCGCGGGAGAAGACGAAAGATGAGAAGTAATAGAAGAGACAAAGAGAGAGATTGTATGCCGATACAACTTTTTTTATCAATGAATAAATATGTAAGTCAGCTGTGCGCTTATAATAAACAATATAGATATCCATGCCGGTGTAACCCCTATTACCATTTCCAATTTAACATTACTAGGTTTTGGGATTTATTAAAAATTATTACATCTAATTTAGAGAAATAACATCTAGATTAGTTAAATTTTATATAATTAATAATTCAAAAATTTTTGGGTTCAGTACATTAAAATAGGTTGAATTATTTTAGCTTTTTTAATATATGTAAATAATTTTGTAAACAAAACGAGAATAATGAAATAGACATGTGACAACCGCGGATATTATACCCTCCTGTGTCCCTTAGAATATGTCTTATTCAGGACCGCACATTTGTTAGTAGTATCTCCTGTTCTATCTGTATATACCTAACAGTTACTTAAGATAAAAATGTTAAACCTATTTTATTTTGTGTCAAAATTGCATAATAAATAATAAACATATTTATCCTCTATAATTTGACGTACTCAAATGTATATACAGGGTGAAATATAATTAAAATATTTTTTGTCGTATTTTTGGAAATAATTTCACAAAATATTCATAAATGGTTATCAAAATTGGTAGAGGTAGACCAAAGAAATATTATTTTATCAATAATTTTATATTTTGTTATAGAGGGAGCGCCACATGTTATTACACAATAATAATGACAAAACGCAAAAACAGATTTTCGAGGACGTACATTTTAAAGTTTCTTATTTATTGTAAGGCTTGTCATTATCTTGCCTTTTAAAAATATTTGATTCTTTTTTTAATAATAAACATTAGTTTTTACTTTATATTTAAACAGTAAAAAGTTTACTTTGATAACCCTAAGAAAAAGATTATTATATTTTCGTCCTTTCTTTGAACATTTTAACATTTTCAACAATACTGTCCTAATTTGATTTGTACCACTGTTAAAACTAATGTTCTCAGTTGATTTGTAATAAAACTGCCATAATTTAATTTTATGTCATTGACTGAGTAGAATTAGTTTTGTGTCACTTTTCATCATTATAAAATCTTGATATTTTAGTACACGAAGAACGGCAGAAACGCTTTTTATATAGCAGTTATTTTTGGAAACAACAAAATGTCATTCTTACACAAAAATATGCGGATTTTGTTGTTTGAAAATGAAAATTTTTGAGTTATGTCACTATTCTTGTGCACCAACGATGTGCGATTCCTGATGATCAAATTAGGTAATATCTTTTTTAACGATTTTTTTTTTTTAATTTTGATTAGAAAACATGATATAAACATAATTTTTATGTAACCTGTTTAAACTTTTGATAATTTCAACGGTTTTCGTTGAACATTTCAGGAATATTTCAAAAATCCTTATTAATTCTACTGGATTTCTAGTTTTGGAAACATATTAATATGTGAAGTCCTTAGTTTTTTCCAAAGAAATTCCTTCAAAAGATTTGACTAATATACAGGGTGTTTCAAAAAGGTATGTCATAAATTCATCCTCAGATAGATTACCAAAAAATAAGTGGATTTGGATATATTTACCTATATCAAAAACTGGTTCCCAACAAAGTTACAGGGTGTTAAACTAACATTCAGAAAAACGTTTTTTTTTATGTAAAAATAGACACACACACACACATCCAAAATAATATCTACCTTATTAATCTCAGTTAAAACAAAGACTTTTTGTTAGCAACTGAATAAAGTTATCGCCAAATTTGTCAGGAATAGTATTATTTATGCGTATGCGGGACGCGGAGAGATGTCTGCTCGTTAGAAAGCCCAACAATTAAACGCGGCTGCAGAAACTTTCAAGTTTGCGTATTTATTGCTCAAAAACTATGATACTTGTAATAAAATTTTGAAAAATAAAAAAGTTTCTCGATTACTGAAAATAGTGCTGCAAAAAAGTAAAGATTAAAGTTTTGTCTAGTTTTACAAAAAAAATAGATTTTCTATACTAATGAAACGAACGCAGTAATCTCTGCTTAAAAAAAGTTGGAAATATCTTGTTTAGTTCCGGAGATATCGCGAGGTATGTGTGAAAAAGTAATAAAACATAATTTTGACAGATTTTTGACAAATTTCGCAATAAAAAATGTTGTCCCTATTAAAAAATGTTGTAATTGCCGATTTCAGATGGCCAGGGACCTAGACTATTTTGTAAAGACCACATGTGGTTGTACCTTAAAAAAAAAATTTGATGTGTCCAACACATGACTTTCCTATCTAGTTATTACGTAAAAACAAAAAAAATCAGAATTTTGCACATTTTGTCAAATTTCTCGAATACGGACCATTTTAGGAAATTTTGACATAAAACAAAAATTATAGAAAATAATATTAGAAGTAACTTTTATTTAAACAATTTTCTTCTCCAAACATAAATAACAGATATATTCCATAAAATATAAAAACGGCCTCCCATAAAGTACCCCCCCAGATGTTCCGACTTTGTCCAAAATCTAATCATTTCACGTCAGGCCGAAATAAACCTTAAGGTTAAAATTTAATGTTTTTCCCTCTATCCGTTTTTGAGTTTTCTTCAAATTTCGAAATTTACACATTTTCTCAAATATCTCGAATACGGTCCATTTTAGAGAAATTATGTATAGGCCAAAAATTATAGAGAATTATATTACAAACAACTTTTATTTGAACAATTTTTATAAAAAATAATTTTTTTTACATTTTGTCAAATTTCTCGAATACGGACCATTTTAGGAAAATTTTGTATAAAACAAAAATTATAGATAATTATATTAGAAGTAACTTTTATTTGAAGAATTTTCTTCTCCAAACGTAAATAACAGATATATTCCATATAATATAAAAATGACCACCTATAAAGTACCCCCCCAGATGTTCCGACTCTGCCCAAAATCTAATCAGCTCATTGGACGCTGAAACGAAGCTTAAGTTTAAAATTTGGTGTTTTTCTGTGTATCGGTTCATGAGTTATGCGTTATACAGACACACACACACACAGACACACACACAGACATCATCGCGAAAATAGTCAAAACGGATTCAGGGGACCACAAAACGTAAAAATCCGTCGAAAACTCGAAGTCGAAAAAAATCATGATTCCTATACTTTCCTTATATCTGTATACAGATAGGAAAGTAAAAATTGAAACCTTTTTGCCCGTTTTTCAGACCACTATATATATAAATATACTTTTGTACAATCGTCACCGTTTAAGCTTCTAGTGAACCTGTGCAATATTGATACCTTATATACTATTAAGCTAATTTTGTCCAATCGTTCAGTGCTACTATCGCACATGTGTAACTGCGTTTGTGATAACCTACTCCTACTGTTGGTATATTGCTACTAGATTTCAAGAACATTTTAATAATAAATGAATATGAATATTTTGTTTTATTTGAAATTTCCATTTCCATTGAGATTTTACTATAACCTCAATTTCAGCCTCTCTGTATTATGTATAATCCTTCCTCCATGTTATGTACATTACACAAAGAACAATATAGTGTGACCACGGATGGACTTATTTTAAATTTAAATAAAGTTATTTTCATAATTTCTCAATGTGAATCGAATTTATTTAACAAGTATAAGAAATTATGAAGAATTACTTTTTTAATTTGAAATAAATATTTTCACAAGTATAGTTAAGTCGATCCGTGGACACAGTGTATAGTGTATAATGCTGTAGAACTAATTCACATTATAACATCTTTTCGGAGCAACTTTCGGGGTAAGTATCTTAAAAGTGCTAGTGTGAGATGTGCTATAAAAATCTTGCCTTTGCGGGCATTCGGCGGTTGCAGGGATATTAGATTTACATTAAAAGTACATTGCATGTGAGCTTAAAGAGCCTAAAATTGCAACTTACTAACGTAGATCGGATGTTTTTGTGCTAGCTGGGTAATGTTAGTTTCTTTTGAGCACTCAACTCTGTTGTTCGTCTACTATAGCCCCTGCGTGACTAGTCGTCAGCGTAGGTATGGTCTAAGGTCAGTGTAGGTTCGCCTAAAGATGATAGATATCCTTCCTTCTAGGTTCCATCATCAGTAATAGTCAAAAAAATTATCATGTGAAGTGTGATTTAATTAAAAAATATTCTATATAGAATTAATGAATGTTTGTAGGGCAAATATAAATATTTGGTAGTTTATCTGAGTAAACAGTCGATCATTACAAACTAAAAAGCCATGGATGTAGGTGATAGGTGATGTTTCTGACGAGCGATTTCAATTTTTCTACTTGTTCCGAATTTCACTGATAGATGCTAGATGTCAGCCACAGCACGACGCTGGCTCGGCCTCCATCAAGTTTCATAGTTTTTAAATAGAATAAGTATCAAATAAATATCCTATAAAATCATGCAATAAAATTACTACTATTGAAATCCACCCAATACGTGACACAAATGGCATAAAATAGGCATACATTATTATTTGACTATCGTTGCTTTGTGCTTGGATTGTTGCCTGAAGGATAGGCAACACTCCTTTATCTTATTGATTGGTTAAATAAAATCGTAAGTCCCTCCTTAATTTGAAAGTAAAATCGAATACTTAAATAGAAATTTCGATATGTGACATTTTCAGAACTTTTTATTTATACTTCGTTTTTCTTTCGTTCTATAGTTCATACGTTAAACTGGGTATATTTTATGTTCAGTCTAAACTCGTGATTTATTTCGGTTTCAAAAACAAAATGACTTCTTTCATGATCGTACTTTAGCCTGATATCGAGAACTTTTCAAATCGATTATCGAGTCAGGTAGGCCATTGGTGTTTATGGCGGCAGGGGTTGGCGGAATTTTGTTCGAAAACCTTAGGTTCGAAAATACGTTTATTCGTAAAAGCTTAGATCGAAAAATTCTAGTCCGAAAATACACTTTTAATTTTCTCATTTTATGCATAATTTTTTCGCGAGCAACCTACGACTGCAGGCTGCACAGGTTAGGTTAGAAACCTATTTTGATTCCAGGCCGTACAGGTTAGGTATATTAGTTAATATTTATTTTTCTTATTTTATGTATATTTTTTTGCGAAGAAGCCCGTTTTGATTCCAGGCCACACAGGTTAGAAAAATTAGTTAATATTTGTTTAATTTTTCTTATTTTATGTACATTTTTTTGGGAAGCAACTCGCGATGACTCCAGGCCGCACAGGTTAGGTAAATTAGTTAAGTTTTTTTTAAGTTTTAAGAACGCTAGGAAAAATATTTCTATTTTCTTTAATATATTTTACATTTAGATTCAACTAAAATATCGTTCTTTCCAATTTTTTCGTTATAATTTTTTCGAGGAAAACTATCTTCGAACATAACGTTTTCGATTAAAAGTATTTTCGAATAAAAGTTTTTCAAACAACCTCTCATTCGAATAAACGTTTTTTCGAACTATGGGTTGATATTTTCTGGTGGCGGCTTCTACGAGAAGTCGTTGGTTTTTATAATCTCATAATTTATACATTATAAATAATCCTGAAACTCACAATTTTATTATCAACTTGGCAACGTTGTAATTTTTAAGACCGAATCTTTCATCTAGAGCATGGTGTATAGAGAAATTAAAAGTTGAAAAGTCTTTTGGTAGGTAGAGAGGGGGTAAACGTCAAACCACGTCGGGCGGCTCCGAGAATTTCGCAGTAATGTTTACCTGCCAGTGTCGTTTCATAGAATAAGTAATTTTAAATTGTTATCGGCGGAACCGGACAATCGCATGTATTTATGGATTATAAATATTAAACATGTATTATAATATTCAAATCATAATTTTACAAAATTTCAACAGCTATTCACAATTTATTAAACTATTTACTCGAAATTGTTATTAACATCTATAAAATAATTTTGTACGCCAATGTATCGCGTCCACTTCGGTGATATCCGCTGCCAACCTGTCAATTTATGTGTATAAAGTGGGAGAACTGGCAAAAGCATTTCCAACTTTTACTTCTGTTCTATTCTTCCACCATGATCTAGAGTAGATGTTTTGTGAATATAACCTATAAAATTGAGATTTTCGAAAAATACTGGGTTTTACAGGAAATTTTTTACAAAAATTTACTATAGAAACTAGTTACTTTTGAGTGTTTTTTTTTTGTAAACGTGGTTGATTTTTGCTCTATCCCAGGCCTGCGCATATCAGTTTCCCACCCTGGTAGTTATGTTTATAAAATGAAAAAGTAGAAGAGAAGAGACATTTGAACTACTGTTCCATATCAATGGATCTACTTATAGCGTTTCAGAACGCACTCTCTGTCAAAATGTCACTTGTCACTTAAGTGTCGTTCAAACAGCTGTCGATTGTCGATGTCTATATTATTTTTGACAGCTTTTTGAAGCAAGTGTATTTTTCTGGAATAGTTTTGGGGATTATTTTTTGCAAAAATATGTTGGATAATTTGTGATAAATAGTGATTAAAATACTAATTGGATATTAGAGAAGTTCATGATACCCAATTTCAATGGTTAAAATTCAGATGAAGGATAAATAATGTGTTTATTTTTGTTTATAAAAAAGATTCTAATAAGTGAATTCAAATAATGTTCAGAAGTAGGAGCTGGTTTGGCGGAGGCTGGGGCAGGCCAAAAAATTTACATTCTTTAGAACATTTGAAGTATTTGTACAATGTTTTGTCCAGGAATCAAACTGTATCTGAACACAATAGAAGTTTGCTAGTGGAATCTTTGCGTTCTATAGCTGAGATTTTGATATGGGGCGACCAGAATGATTCTTCTGTGTTTGAGTAAGTTTTGATTTTTAATTTCCATTGGCCATTAGAAGTTGTGTAAGGGAAAATAATACTTAATTACAATGTAGAATTAAAAATATAGAAGCTACAAATATTTGTGATTGGTGTATAGGTAAAATAGGTACTATCTTGAGAATTATAAGTAAAATAATAGTATAATCTAATACAGTCCTTGGTAATATAAATTTATATAATCTCAATAACAAGGATTTTAATTAAACTCTGTCAGTGCATAATTATGTAAAAAAAATATTTTAACCACAATAATATTGGAAGTGGGATTGCTGTTTAATATTGTTCATTAATAATCTTCAATAACAAAATAATTTATACTATTTTTGTATTTTTTAAGCAGAATTTCCTGTTTTGCATGGTATTTAACAGGTTTTGGTTGTATTTTATGATTTTTTGATATTTTGGCTCTTTCGTACAATTTAGATTATTTTCCTTACTTCTACTACAACATATACAAAATAATAAGTAAATGTTTTTTTCAGTTTTTTCTTGGAAAAAAATATGCTCTCATTTTTCTTAAGAATAATGAGACAACGCAGTGGAGGTTCTAGCTTTGTATGTGTTCAACTTTTACAAACACTTAACATCCTCTTTGAAAATATAAGGAATGAAACATCTTTATGTAAGGACATTTTATATTTTTCTAATTACAATTTTATTATTGCTGAATTTTAAACCTATTAAGTACATATTTAGAATCCACAATTTATTGTTAAGTACTTAAAATGTTAAGCCCCATGAGGTATAATCTGTGTGTCGCATCTCATTTGACACTTTGAGCCTCATGACATTTATGCTATGCCTCACTGCCGACAGTTCTGTTTGGCAATATTAATGGTTCTATTGTGGCATTTAATATGTTAATATATGTTTTTGTCATGTAGATTTGCACCCTTAAATATTCAAATATCATTAAGGAATGCCATATAAAAACAAAATAATGGATATTGACTTCCCTTCAGTAGGTATTCATTCTAAACAAAAATTCTAAGTTGTTTGTATTAAAAAAAATCCATTTAAATAAACCTAAATATAGTGTTTATCTCCAGACCATAAGTTAGAATAGGATGAATAGTTTATTTATTTATTTATTTATATATGTTTTAGATTACCTTTTATCAAATAATCATGTAAATTCCATCATTGTACATAAGTTTGATTTTTCTGATGAAGAAGTTATGGCTTATTATATATCTTTTTTGAAGACGCTTAGTTTGAAACTGAATGCACATACAATCCATTTCTTTTACAATGAGGTAAGATTGCATTCCATTATGAATTTATTTCTAAGATATATTATCAACAAATTATTTCAGCATACCAATGATTTTCCTTTATATACTGAAGCCATAAAGTTTTTTAATCACCCAGAGTCCATGGTAAGAATAGCTGTGAGAACATTGACATTAAATGTTTATAAAGTTGAAGATACAAGTATGTTGGCATTTATCAGAGACAGGACAGCAGCACCATATTTTTCCAATATTGTTTGGTTTATTGGTAAACATATACAAGAATTGGATACTTGTGTCAGAAATGATGCGGAGTAAGTTTGATTATTAAAATAATATAAAATTCTAGCTACTAGTTATATGTTTTTGTTGTAGTCATCAATCCCAAAATCGTCTCTCTGATTTAGTAGCAGAACACTTGGACCATCTCCACTACCTCAATGATATATTATGCTTAAATATAACCGATTTAAACCATGTATTGACTGATCATTTACTTCATAAATTACTCATTCCCTTGTACATATATTCACTCTCCTCTAATAGAAGAAGGATGTCTAACAATGATTTGGTGGCCCAGAGTCTGAGTAAAGTTTCATTGACACCAAAAACTTCTCAGAATAGCAGTCCCAAGGTAAATAAATTTAAGGTTATTTGGAATCTTAGTATGTTACTGTAATTATGTATTTTAATTATTTTAAATGAGTTAAAAATGTTTCAGATGCATGATGTGACCAATGGCAAAGTGTCTTGTGTCGTAGCTCTATTCCTTTTATCTCAAGTATTCCTTATTTTATCCCATTCGCCTCTGGTTCAAACTTTAGCCTGGATAATTCTAAAAACCGACAAGACTGTTTTCGAAAACGGCGTAGACAAACTGCACGACTTTTTCGAATATGAAAAGCAGAGGGAGAGGCAGAGTTCTGAGGAAGAGGCTTCTGGGAGTGTAAGTAGCGAAAAAGATAAAGATAGCAGCTGTTCAAAGGAAAATTTATTATATGAACAAGCTAATATTAATATAACTGATGAAGAAAAACAACGGTTGGTAGATCCTATGGAAGGGATGGGATCGGTGAAAAATCATCCTTTTTTGGAGACTGTTTATGAGGCTTTAGATTGTACTGAAAATGATTATGCCGCTCTGTTTGGTCTTAGTCTTCTGTATGCCATGTCTAGTAATCGAGGTAAATCTTGTTCATTATTTTTGTTTCAATATATCCCACAATTTATTTAAAATTAAATAATCATTACTTCGTATCTGAACAATATAATCAGATAGTTTAATTGCTATTTATATGCCATTTCAACTATGTATTTTGAATAAGTCTGCAGTTATTGCATGTCTGAGTGTTAACTTTACATTAAAAGTCACCAGTTGTATTTTATTAGGTACTGATTGACAGAAATAGCAAAAGCTGTGACATGCGCCAACTTGAAACACGATGGAAAGAATGCCGCGTTGCCAAATTCATTAGTATTTTGTCCTACTTACTTGAAATATGGAAATAGTAAAATTGATAAACAATTTTTGATAATTTTATTATTTATGGCTGTACTAACTATAATCATTATTGAAGTTGTAGTAAATAATATTTTAGTAACTTTTAATGCTAAATTTTCAGTTATAGGGATGTATCAAAAAATTAAAATTTTCTTAAACTCGGAATATCTCGTTCGAAATCGGTATATTGACGTAAAATATCATTAAAAACAAAATTCTCTAATAACTTTTATGTTTCTAAAAAATGCAATTTTGAACGATTAAAAAAAGATGCCAATTTGACAGATAACCAATGTCAGTAGCCAACTTTTAAATAGGCTGTTTTAAGTTTTTAAATAAACAGAAATTATTGTCCTATGACGTTTTTTTCCAATCGTAATAAAAAAAAATCCAATATGGGTCCAACTTTATGCTGTAATATAAAATATATGAATCATAAACCAACAATCAAGTTGTTATTGTAGAATGGTAAATTTCTTTAATACATGTTGTAGCTACTACTTGTCAGCTACTCGTTCTTGTAGAAATAGAAATAGAATTTATTCATCTTTAAGAATTATACACTATACAAAGACACTAGGTACATAATGTAAAATCCTATCAGACTAGTCAAAAAAGTGTTAAGTAAAATACATTAAAAAATAAAATATATATAATACACAATTCATGTTAAGATTAGTTTAAAAGTTCAAAAAATCTTCTATACTATAAAATACATTATTTACAAAAAAATCATTAAGATGTTTTCTTAAATCATTACAACTAATTTGATGATAATCTGTAGTATCTTCTAATATTTTACTGAACTTATTGTAACACTTAATCCCAACATATTTTGGTGAATGCTGGCTTATTTGTAGTCGTGAAAAAGGTTGAATTTTAATCTAGTATCATATGAGTGCAGGTCTTTATTTTTCTTAAATATATGCTCATTATCTTTTATGTATAAAATTAGTTGAAAAATAAAAAGGGAAGGTAGTGTTAAAATTTGCGTTTTCTTGAAAAGTTCTTTACATGATGTTGTTGGTGTCACCTTATACATGGCTCTCAGAACCTTCTTTTGAGATACAAAAGCTCTTTCAAAGTATGGTGAAGAACCCCAAAATATTAACCCAAGGCCGACTAGAGGGGGGGGCAACCGGGACCAATTCCCGGGGCCCGGGTTCAAAAGGGGGCCCGGCAGGGGTGGTGTTTGCTACTTTCAGAAGTTCGACACAAGATGGGGAAAGTTTTTAGAGAAATTCAAGTAGATGAAGAGGAATTTTTTTTTGCTAGAAGACCTTTTGTTATTTAATTTATGTCGCGGGGCCCGATCTGGAGAATTGTCCTGGGGCCCGGTTTGGCTCTTGGCGGCCCTGTATTAATCCATATTGTAGAGTTGAATGAACCAAACCAAAATAGCATAGTTTTACAGTATCAAAAGATAGTGTCTCCCTTAAATTTTTGATGATGTAACAACAAATACTTAATTTTGAAGTTACCATTTTTATATGAGCTTCCCAATTTAATTTGGGATCTAATATTATTCCTAAAAATTTTGTGTCATCAACGCTTTGAATAGTTTTTCCGTCAACGTGCAAGTAGGGTTCATAATCTGGTAATATGTTTTTGGGTAGAAATTGCATGAAGTTTGTTTTTGTTACATTTAATGCCAGACTGTTATCTTTACAATATTGGTTAAACTCACGAGATGCCTCGTTGCTACTTTGAGTGACCTGTTCAATTTGATCATCTGTCATTACAATATTGGTATCATCGGCATTAGACTGGGCCAAAAAAATTGATTTTTTTTTTTTTGAAAAATATATCGAGAATATCATTCAGGATGACAAAAAAAAATTTGGTGAAAATTTGAACCCTTAATATTAATTTTAAGAGGTCTATCATCGCTATTTTTGATTTTTAGTCATAATTTGATGTTTTACGTTAGAACTGTCAAAACATTAAAGTAAAAAAAATCCTTTTCACTTATTTTTATATAAAATTAAATTCTCTACAAAAAATTTCAATTTTTTCTTCGATTTTAATCGTAAATAACTTTTGAAGAATTAAATTTAGGCAAAAATTTTAAGAGACCTTTTTTGTAGAACATTAAATTTTTTTAAGAAACCGATGTGAGCTTTTTTAAATATTCATTGATTCATTAGTTACAAAATTTCAAAATAAAAAGGACAAATCGAAAAGAACACATCGATCTATTAAGCTCAATTACTCGGAAACGGCTCGTTTGACGAACATTTTCAATCAGACTTTTTTGTAGAGAATTTAATTTTATATAAAAAAAGTGGAAAGGAGTTTTTTTCACTTTAATGTTTTGACAGTTCTAACGTAAAACATCAAATTATGACTAAAAATCAAAAATAGCGATGATAGACCTCTTAAAATTAATATTAAGGGTTCAAATTTTCACCAAATTTTTTTTTGTCATCCTGAATGACATTATCGATATATTTTTCAAAAAAAAAATAGTCAATTTTTTTGGCCCAGTCTAATCGGCATATTGAACTATTTGTTGAGAGCTTAAACAAAAATTACTTATATCACTTATAAAAACTATAAAAAGAAGTGGGTCCAAAATTGAACCTTGGGAACTCCTATTGTACATTTAAGAGGATCAGATTTTAGACTATATGTTACAATTACTTGAGTTAGATTTATTAAGTAAGACTGTATCCATTCATAAGATTTCCCTCGTATTCCTAACCCATTCATCTTCAATAATAAAAGATTATGATCCACCATATCAAATGCACGGCTAAGGTCATAGAAGAGTCCCAAAATATGTTTTTTATTATTGAGTGCTTGATATATAAACTCTAGGCAAGCTGCAATTGCAGTAGATGTTGACTTATTTTTTTCTAAATCCATTTTGAGTATCTAACAACATATTAAAACTTTCAAGTGAGTCTAATAGAGTATGCTGACTCAAATATTTTAGTTATTTGACTAGATATACAGATTAAACGATAATGTTCTATATTAGATTCAGATCCCTTATTTTTATAAACAGGAATTCCTTTAGATTCCTTCATATTTGAGAATAACCCCGAAACAAAGGATTCATTAATCAAATGTGATATGGGTTCAGCAATACAATGAGCAACCGATAACAGAATTTTACCATTTATTTCGTCAATACTTTAAGTGGGTTTAGAAGTAGTTTTTTTGATTATAGTGATGATTTCACAAGGACTTGTTGGAAGATGAAAAAACTTATGATGTTTATCAATACTCATAGTATAGTTAGGTACAATATTATTTTTATTTACATTAATAAAATAGTCATTGATATAATTTACTTTTTCTAAGGGTGTTAATTTGTCATCATTTATAAGTTTAATAGGATTCAATAAGTTGTTTTTTCTTTTTCCCCTACTCTCGTTTATTATATTCCAGGATTCTTTCATTACGTTATTACTTTTTAAAATACGATCATTATTTTTTCTTCTCAAATATTGTTTTGTTATGTTTTGATACTCTTTTTTCAATTATTGTAACGTTCTGTATAATATATAGAATGTATTTCTTTCTTTAACCTGTTCATTTCACATAATAGATTATGTAACTCTTTAATATGAGGTGGAAACTGATTTTTTAATTTTTGTGGTTTTATCGCTTTCTTTGTTTTCGTAAATACAATATTGTAGTGGTATAGGAATGATTCATAAAAGATAGAAAATTTATCATTAAAATTAGTAGATGTGTATACTTCACGCCAATTTTCAACTGATAAAATATTTATAAAAGTTATTGCGTTAGGATCACTTAAATCTCGTTTAGTATTTAATTTCGTTATTTTCAAAATTAGTTAGGCGGCGTCCATTAATTACGTGAGGTATTTTTGAGGATTTTTTGACTCCCCCTCCCCCCCTGGCGAGATTTGGTAAGATTTTCCTTAACTCCCTCCCCCCTACCCTAATCTCGCGTGAGATTTTTCAAAATTCGTGTTTTGGGTGTAAATGTGTTGGATTATTAAAAAAAAAAAAACAAAAACACAATATGTTCCATTACTTTTATTTAAGACTAGCAAAGACTAGTGTTTAAGAGTGTTGCAATTATTTAAAATCACATTAATAAAATTAAATGATAAATACTTAAATGGAAATTAATAAAAAATAAATAAACATAATTATAAGATTTTTCCATATTTTATTCTAGAAATACTTTTACTATAATTTAACTTTACTTTCACGCAATTTTACACCGTTTTCTACTAGAAAAAAAAAATTACGTGAGATTTACGAAACCTCCCCTCCCCCCAAGTGAGATTTAGAAAGATTTAGTTTTATCCCCTTCCCCCCTTGAACACCTCACGTAATTAATGGACGCCCCCTTAGGTAGTTTAATCGAACATAATAAGTAGTTATGATCAGACAAAAAAGTAACATATACACCTTATCTACATCAAAATTGGTAAAAAAATTATCTAAACAAGTTGAGGTTGTACTTGTTGTTCTCGTTGCAACATTTATATGCTGTTAAATATTAAATTCCTTCAATAAGTCAATTAAAACAGTTTTTTTATTATCTTCAATCAAAAAATCTACGTTAATATCACCACAGATAAAATAGTGAGTGTCGTTTTGATAAATATTATGAATTAATAGCTCTAGCTGATTTATAAAAGTGCTAAACATATTACAAGGTGGCTTATACACAGTAATAATAAATAAAAAAGTTTAGAATCGATCTTTATTCTTCCACCACATACTTCAAATTCACCTTCTATACACCACCTATGTAAATTTATTGATTCAAAATTTGCAGCAATACTTGTTTTCATAAATATACTAGCACCACCTTTTTCTTTATTTATCCGTGAAAAATATGATACTAGCTTAAAATCGTCAATTGAGGTAGCTTGTAAATTGTTAGAATCAAGCCAATGTTCAATAACACATACTTACATTTTGTTTCTGTAAAATTAAATTTAGATCAAAGCATTTATTGGCAAAACCTCCCTGTATATTGATATGTATTAAAGTAATATTTAACTGTTGGGAACTGCAAAATAGTAATTCATTATTTTCTTTCAAAAAGTGGTTTTCCATATTAATCCTTGAGGTCCCTATTTTATCAGGTATGAAGTAGAGGCTAGGTTTGAAAAATTTTCTTCACTCTTATGCGATCTCTAGTTTTGTGATTCTTCAAGAAATCGCTGACCTTGTTTAAAGTTGAATCGGGAATAATTTATATTTTTCGGCCAAAAATCTGATTTATATACTTGCTCCTTAAAATGAGGATCTATTCCCACTAGAAAAGCTTGATTATTCTGTCTTACAAAATATGTGTCTAGTTTCTTCACATAAATGTCTTGTGCGTTTATGAATGTATTTCTTAACATTTTCTTCATTTACAGTGTCTGATACTCTAGATACAAAGAGCCAAATTTTTTTGTTTAATTTTCTCTTCCATTAAATTCATTATCATCTTCTCCTCTTCCCATAATTGTTTTGTTTTTTCTCCTTTGTCGTCTTGTTACTGTGATATAATCATTCTCATGACTCCCCTCATTGGTATCACCTGCTAGATTTATTATTTCATTAGTTTTTTGTAGGGTTTGAATTTTCATTAGTTCTAATGCAACTTGTTTCCTTTGGAGGAATGAGTCATCCTGTACAGGGACATTCCTATAATCGCTTGTGTTTTTGTTTGGTATTAAATGTTTATTTCCAACAGGTATACTCACACTATCAGTTTTTGTTTGTTTTCCATAAAAGGTTTATTTCCATCTTCTTTTTCCTTTATAAATTTCACAACATTGTACTGAAGAACACTATTTTTTACTACGTTTCAAAAACAACTAATGTATTAAGATCCAAGTGATCACCTCGAAAAATCTGAACGGACTGAGCCCCGCAATTCTATTCAATAAGTATATGATCTTGTCGGCTTCAGCTATATCTGTCGTATTGCATGATAAATTCAAAAATAGTTATTTTCCATTTTATCGACTTTTAGTAACTATATATAACATAAACAATCATTTTAAGGAGTTACGTCGGACATCACGGAGCAAGTTCTGAGGCCGAAAAAATCGTTCATATCGAAAAGCTCGACTACCTCCAAAGACGTGAAATACACATACAATACGTTTTTAGTAGAGAAAATGTTACAAATAATCATATTTTCGTGCCAACCTTCTTGCAGAGTGCGTTTGGTCACTCTCGAACTCGCCCTGAAACTTTTTATACAGTTAACGGTTTGCGACGGAAAGACGGTTCTGTCGGAATCTCATAGACATACAATAGAGACTGCTAGGGTGCAAAGCATGGCGCTATTAAGGAACTTTTACAAGAGCGAAGAAATCTTCTTGGATATGTTCGAACATGAGTAAGTCAAATTGCGGTGATTTTAACATTTTTTTTTAATAACAGGGTACATAGATCTAACTTTTTATCATAAAATTTAACAAAATTTTAAAACAGGTTGATTTTTAATCCAAATGGGGCATTTTCCCATATCAACCCCCTCCTTTATACTTCTTCGACTCCTTAATTTTAAATAGGGAATGTTCCATGTATGTCACATCATTGAAAAGTTATTTTTTAAATTTGTTCCCATTTTAATGCTCTATTAAATTTGTTTAATAGATAGGAAATTCAGTCCTTAATATTTTAAATGTATATACAGGGTGATTCATAATCATTTGTGTGTACAACTTTTATTTTTCGACCTTAATTATGTATATATAGGGTGTTAAATTTTCTATAAATGAAGTTTTATCAAGTCACTTCCAAAATTCTAAATATTTTTTTTACAAATTTGACATGCACGTTACTTTAGTCAAAAGTTGAAACATTTCCAAATAACTGTTTCTAAATAATGGCACTACACATTTCAAAAAATTATATGGTACGCCACTGATTTAAAAAAAAAATAATTTTTATACAAACTTTCGTTAAAAAAGTGTGCCCGATTTTTTGCTATTGTACTTCGTTTGTTTACAAATTTTTGTTTAGTTTATTATTTTTTTAAGCATAATTTATTGTATTTATGCAATTTGCAAACACACTGTATCATATTGTTTATATTAAATTGAAATTATGTTTAAAATGATTAATTTATTGTCCAAAACTATATTTTAGATACTGTGATATGTTAAAGGGATCTTTAAATGTCGAATGGCTGTGTATGGACAGTGCAATTTTACTGCCTCCCACTGGAACTCCGATGACTGGTATAGACTTTACAAAAAGATTACCCTGTGGCGAGGTAATTCGTTTTTTATTTTAATATTTTTAGTTTTTTATTAAAAAATTGTTAAATATTAGATTTTGGAGTATTTATTTGAATTTGGAGCTCAAAATCTGACTTTTTTAATGAAATTGTGCCTTCAGATGTTAACTTTCATTACCAATGCACCACTGAATTTTTCTATAAAACAAATTAATATTTATATCAAAAAAAATCTGTAAAAATTGAATATGTCATATGTAATTTGAACCGTGAATTCAAAAAAAAAAAAAAAAATAATAATATAAAATAATGACCCATTGAAAAGAAATCAAATTTAATAATATCATTTCCGGTTAAATTGTTAGTCGGCCATTTTGTTTGAGTATAAGTATTAATTTCAAATTATGTGCTACAGTGTTGCCATTCGTTACCTAGTTTCTGGGTGAATATGGATAATACATACAGGTGATTCTTATGCAAAGCAAGGTTGCCATATACACACATCTTTATTATTTTTCCCCAGTTATGGGGAATTTATACATTTAGATCTTACTATTAAGATTATATACTAGCATACTAGGTTCATCTATGACAATACCTGACGAAAACCTTTTAATTGTTGAAACTAGTCTATGTTACATTTAAAATTAAAATTTCTTGTTACGGCATTACGTTTAATTATTATTTTACTTTATAATTAAAACGATATTAATTTAATTGTAGGTTGAACGGGCCAGAAGGGCAATAAGAGTATATTTCTTAGTGAGAAACTTGGTGCTAACTTTAAATGGAGAGGTGGAAACGCAGTTGCCGTTGACGAACCCTCAGAGCTGCGTGCAGATCGATCAAGCGTTGGACCTGAGTATAACTCGTTGTGTGTCACAGCCACGTGATTTAAACAATCACTAGTTGTTTTTTCATTGGTGATAGATCAAAATCATTATTTTTTGTTTTATGTCTTGTTTCATTATATTCGTTTATTCGCTGTTTGCTTGTTTTAATTGTTTATTTGAACTTGTCTTCTATAAAAACTCATTAACTTTAAATTGGGTAAGGCATTTTTTGTTTACACTTGTTTATTTTATTGTAGCAATTTGTTTTGTTTTATTATGTTAACCCTTTGCACCTGACTTGTTCCTCTATGAAGTAAATGAGAAATGGCCAATTAATATGTGTGATTAAATTAGTAACAACCATTTATATAAATCCTTATTCGGCTTGACACGTTTTTGTATGTGGTCAGAGAGAAAGAAGGAAAGAGGTAGATAAATATAGAGAATTTCAGTTCCAGGACTCGTTGGTACCACATTCTTTTCATACAAATATTTTCTCAACTCGTTTGTAGATATACTGGGTAGTGGATGTAAAATATTTCTTATTGTTTGTGGTGGTGCAAGTATAGACCTTGCCCTAAAGGAGTTCCTACAAATAGAAGAAAATAAATGCTCAAATGAATCACTCTTAAGCTCTGTCTCGTCCATACAATCCCCTTTTACCCTCTCTGAGAGTAGTTAGAAATTCTGTAGACTTAGAAAAACTGGGGATAAAATTGAGTTGGACATCAAAGTAGTACTTACAAGCATTTGCAGAAATGTGCTCAACAAGTGTACCTCAAATACTTAAGTATATCCTATAATTTTACCCCCCTTAAGAGTTAACTCTGCGAGGACAGACAGCTATTAATATTACATTATTTGTCGTGAGGTTCCGGGGTATCTTATAGATAATATATATTGCCATTTGACTCACAGGTGAACTCCACATGCAACTAACTTTGAAGCTTAATTAAAAAACGCATAGTTTGCTCTGGGATCCGAATCAGCATGTCGGTAAACTACTAAAGGTCCGTAAATTTATGTGGAATCGTATAACAACATTATAATATATTTTATAGCTACATGTATTTTTGATGAAAAATCTGCCAGAGGTGCCATGTCACAAAGAAGGGAAAATAAATATAACAAAATTATTTGCAGGGTTGTGGGTCAATTATTTTAAAAAAGGTTCAGAGTGCAAAGGGTTAAATAACTTTAATTACGTCTTAATTTGCTTTATCCAAAAATCGGAAAATTCATGGTTTAAAATAAAGATAAGTAAAATTAATAATCAAAGGTTGAGGTGAAATGAAAATTGTATTTTTTTAAATGTGCTAAGATTTAGAAATATTCTTCCATTTTTGACGAGTAAGTTGTACTTTTAAAGCCCGGTATTGGCTCAATTGCCGAATGCGCTCTACAAATTTTATTTAATTATAAGAGTGGAAAAAATATCTTAGAAATTCCTAAAGCTTTTTTGATTTCACTTCAACCATTGATTAACCAGTGTGTACACACTTACTTCTGCTTGAAAAATTAACAAGCTTTTATCTAGCATTTTTTTTTTTTCATATTACTGGTAATCTTTTTTTCATATTTTTTAAATTGCCTTTCATTTTTGGGAAAATAATTTTAATTCAGAGCGGTAAGGTAGTACATTATATTTTTTCTCCCCTTCTAAATCTTTAAGGGAATGAGATGGGATAATGACTAAGAAAGGGCGGGAAAACCTACCTCCAAAATGCGACCGTTGGGCGCCAGATGTTAAGCGCAAGACATAAAATATATCTTTCTTAATTAATTAAATGTACAACGGTTTTAATAACACAAACACCATTTCTTTCTAAGTACTTCATATAAAATATAACCTTTTAATCATTTCCGGAGCTATGCCATCTACCTTACTTGTCTTTCCTATTTTGATTTTTCCTATAGTTTTTGCTATTTCTTCTCTTTATTTCTCCTAGTTCTAGTCCGTCTTCTCTGTTTAAATTTTTCTCGGGATATGTTGCGTTAAATTTATATCTAGTGTTCTTTCCACGTTTCTATTATTTCTTTTGTGTCTGCATATACGTGTTTGTCTATTATTGAATTTATTTCTTTCTCTTTATATCCTTTCATGTTTTTTTATCGTGTTCAAAACTTTCTTTGATTGATTTTATGTTTCTGTTATCTCTTTTCCAAAATCTTTATATTTATTGCATTTTTTTACACTTTCTTTCACTAAATGTCTCTTCCTGTTGTACTCATCTTTATCCCGCTGTGATTTTGTTTTCTTTTATTTTTTTTTCTTTTGCTAAAGTTTCTATTTTGTTATTCCACCATTTCCTTCGTTTTAGATGTTTATTTCATTTTTCCACATATCTTCTTTGTTATTGTCAATACTGTTTCTTTTTTGACATTTTCTAATCTTTAATATTTCTTGTTTGTCTCTTTTTGACACTTTTCTCTTAATGGATTTTATTGTACTAGCGTCACACTTGAGACTGTATTAGAACTGTCATACTTGTCAAAAGTATATGCTACACTCAAGTATGTGTCAAATATTTGAAGCTTACACTGAACAAATCAAATGCGATTAGTGCAACAAATAAAATAAATGAAATCGTTTTAACTTGTGTAATGTTATTTTACTATATTTTACACGAATTTAAACATGATTCATCTTTTGTCTTAAATAGATAGAGATCAATTATTATATATTAAAATTAATCATTGTAACATCATTGCCATTAAATTTGACTGGGTCATTGTGACAATATACTCGGCATATTCAAGCTTTTAATGAATGAAAATATCAACTGTTTATCTTCTAATTTTGATCCATTAGTCTTTGGTTATATTACTGTCAATTTTAATATGATTCATTTAAAATATTGACCAGATATTTCTAGTTTTACAGTCGTTTTATTTAATATATTTTAACATGTGAAATGTTTTTTCCTTTTCTTTTTTTTACTTCGGTTTTTACAGTCATAAGTTGAATATAGCTCAACATACACAAATGACTTCTCTCTTCTCTAGCACCAAAAAAATGGCGGCCAATAGATATGTGTTTCAGCCAGAATTTAATTTTATCTCATTCTAGGATTTAGAAGGGGGACAATTTACATCCGTATTGTACAGGGCCTGTTCATTGGGATATGTTTATTTTAAAGCTGCGCTAACTAATAGGAATGGAGATGAAAGCTTTGCAATTGTTGCTTCTAGTTTAGATCTAGCGATTGTTTGTGAAAGGTTGTCACAATAGATGAAGACTAAAAACGTGCATGGCTGCTTTTATAATTTATGAACAAATACATTGTAAATATCACATATTTTAAAGAAATCCGTATGCTAGTGATTGGTTGAGTCTTGTGGTCCCCAAACCGAAGCAAGCCCCTCATGAAACGGTATCTTTTTTCAGACAATTCCGACCTGATCGCGTGCACAGTAGTCTATAAGGACGGGACGAAAATGAGACGGTTCTTAGTGATCGACATACTGCAGCTGATCCTCGTCGAACCCGATACGAAACGATTGGGTTGGGGCGTGTCTAAATTGGTTGGATTCCTGCAGGACATCGAGGTGGCGGGAGACAAGGACGATTCTAGGTGTTTGCATATTACCATCCATAGGCCGATTTCGGGGGCCAGTACGAATAGGGTGCCGCTTTTAAATGCCAAATTTGTTTTTGACGATAATATTAGGTGCATGGCTGCGAAGCAGAGGTTGACTAAGGTAAGGAAATTATTTTTAATCTTTAAATTATTTTTTTTTCCTCTATAAACGTGACTCTTATGATTCTTATTTACCTGAAATTAAAAATATCAGAATGTACAATATATAAAAATCAAGGTTTTTGTTAAATATCTCTGCAACCATTTAATGTAGTTCACTCGCGACAGTCGTACATAAAAATATCGTCTAATGGTGAATACCAAAAGTTCGAGATTCTCAATGCTAATCAATTTTATTTCTGTAAGAGACTGTACAAAACACATATGGACATGTTATAATTTTAATAAAATTCATCCGGCAACCTCGCAAATATATGAACGGTATGGTATAGAAATTTGTGACTTCCTCATACTAATTTTAAGGGTTTGTTTTGGTTCAAACCACATACTTTGATTACTATACGGTGCAAGAGAGAGGTTCAACACGCCCAACGTAGGGCGCGGTCATTTTGATTCCTATGCCACAGTTTATAGCTAAAGAATCAGATCGCTCACTCTGCGTCGGCACTTTTGATCTCAATGTTCCAGTTTATACACTGCGCAACTCGGATAATACAATATATGACAACCGCCTATAATAAAACAGCAGTCTTCTGCGTATCCTGAATTTGTATCCCTGGAGTAGATGTTATTTTGGAACTTTCAACTGGTCTGAGTGAGCTAACTGATTCTTTAGCAATAAACTGTGATTCCAAAAATAATATTCATTGACACCACATACTTTGATTTTCTTTTACTATACGGAGAATGGTCGCACTGCGCAGCTTTCTGAGTGCCTTTTAAAAGGAGATAGAAAACTCCGCCATTTTGAACCCTTATTACGTGTTGCCTACATCTTGGCGCAATATTTTTAATAGGTGCGTTTTAATCATCTGCTTCGGAATTGTCGGTTTTCTTGTTTTAATCTGACAGGTTAAAACGACTAAACCGACAATTCCGGAAGCAGAAGCGGATGATTAAAACGCACCTGATATTTTGCTTGCTGCTGTCAGTGTCAGTGAATATTATTTTTGAAGTCACAGTGTATTGCTGAAGAATCAGTTAGCTCACTCGGACCAGTTGAAACTTCCAAAATAACATCCACTCCAGGGATACAAATTCCGGATACGCAGAAGACTGCTGTTTTATTATAGGCGGTTGTCATATATTGTATTATCCGAGTTGCACAGTGTATAAACTGAAAGATTGAGATCAAAAGTGCCGACGCAGAGTGAGCGATCTGATTCTTTAGCTGTAAACTGTGTCACAGGGTTCAAAATGGCCGCGCCCTATGTTGGGCGTGTCGGACCTCTCTCTTGCCTCGTATAGTAATCAAAGTATGTGCCGCGCCCTATGTTGGGCGTGTCGGACCTCTCTTGCCTCGTATAGTAATCAAAGTATGTGATTGACACTGACAGCGGCAAGCAAAATATCAGGTGCGTTTTAATCATCCGCTTCTGTTTCCGGAATTGTCGGTTTAGTCGTTTTAACCTGTCAGATTAAAACAAGAAAACCGACAATTCTGAAGCAGAAGCGGATGATTAAAACGCACCTATTAAAAATATTGCGCCAAGATGTAGGCAACACGTAATAAGGGATCAAAATGGCGGAGTTTTCTATCTCCTTTTAAAAGGCACTCAGAAAGCTGCGCAGTGTGACCATTCTCCGTATAATAAAAGAAAATCAAAGTATGTGGTTCAAACAGAACCGGTGATTCCAGTTCAAACAGAACCGCTGATTCCAGTTCTCAAACACAGTGGACGAATTAATTTTTCAAGAACACGTCGCGAGGTTATAACAACCTCTTAGCTGATCGAGTGTTATTTTCACGTGTAGTGCTTACAATGTTGCCAAGTTGTAATAATTTTACGAAACTACTCGTCAACTGCTTTAAAAATATTTTTATTTTAAAAATCTATATCTTTTTAGCCGTGAGACTGATATTCAGTGCGTCATCGATGATTGTAAAACCAATAAAGATAAAAAGTTGTTACTGGAGCACTTTTCTTAGACAAAGAAAGTATTTGAATCAGTTTATAGAAATTTACTAATTAAGAAATTATGACGATTATAAATTGTAGAATTGTTGTAATGGCTGTACAGTTACCTGAACAAAAATTGAAAATAAATAACGTTATCTCAAATGAAATAGAAATTTTTTTCGTGTACCTCAGGGAAGCATGTTAGGTCCTGTACTCTTTAGATGCTGCTATTTTACTTCCAATGACATCGAGTATTTATAAATGGTGTATTGAATCGTGTACATGAGTGATGCATGTTCATAGATTGCATGTTGTGCCAATTACCTTAAAATAATGAATTCATCATTCATTGATAAAGAACAGCAAAAATGACAATAAGATTAGCAATCCAAGAAATTGAATTAGTAAAAATATTAAATATTTTATTTGTCTTTTTTTACTTATTACTGTTTTTATGCACTATTATGATTTTATTATTGTATATATTAGCATATTGCTAAATAAAGGACTTATATATTCCCCTTGATTAAACCTAGTACCCAAGGAATGGAGCGCCCTGTGTATTTGATTAATATTTAAATTAACTTTAATTATATCTTGTTCTTTGAGTGGTATACTGTAAAGTTCCAATTATGTTTTTTTTCCAGGGAAGGATAAAAGCCCGCCAGAAAAAAATGCAGCACATTGCACGACTTCTAGAAATTCCTGGACAATCAGGACCTCCAAGTCCGGCATTTGCAGGACAAGGAGGTCCTTATACTCGGTCTAGTGTACGACCGACCCGCGTAGAGAACAGAGCTTTGTTCAACATCAATAGAGGACCAGGTAAAGTAAACTATAGAGCTGTTATTACTCTTTGTTGTACTCCTTTGCTGTACTTGTTTGTCGTACTTGTTTGTTGTACTTCTAGATTTTATCGATTTGTTCTTTGTAGGGTTTGCAGCTCCGAGGAGAGACAGTTCTCCGGGGGTAATTCACAGAGCGGATGAATCAATTCGACGTCATAGAGACGGCGAGAGTCCAAGCAGAGGTGCCAATTTAAAAATCGAAAACGGTAGGAGGGATGCTCGTTCTAGAGACAATTCGAGTAGTAGGGTGAGATCGAGGGAGGGTTCGCCGAGGATGCCTAGGCCTAGATCCGAGGAAATTCCGTTGGAGTTAATTAAAAAGGCGCCGCATTCGATTATAGACATGGCGCCCAAAATTACTATAATACCTAGGTAAAAATTGGTTGAATTATCTCAAATAGTTTTATTAAATGGGAGCTATGACATTCTTTTTGTTTTAGACCTCAAACTCCACGAGTAATAAGCAGCGAAACTGAACCATCAACTTCGAATGAGCATCCTAAGGAGGTAATAAAAACTGAAATTTCTGTATCCGAAGAAACGTCTTTCATAGCGGAGGAGAACGGAGAAGATGATGAAAATTTATAGTAAATTTTATTTTTTCAACGATTTTTAGGTTAAGGCAGCCTTTACAAATGTTATTGTATATTGATCTGTATATAAGAAAAAAACTAATATATTGATAGGTGTAAGGATCGAATATTTTTGTTTTATTTTTTATAATTACAATAGGATATGGACCATAAAATTCACTTATTACTTTCCTCTATAAAAGGGAAGTATTGTAATCGTGAAAAAGTCACCTTCCGAGATTATTTTAGATTTTCACGTTTTAAGGCCGATTTGTAAACTTGCAGTTGCAGTTCCCGTTAACCCGTTGACGGACAACGACGTCTATAGACGTTATTGACAATGTGCGCTCCGTGACACCTTAATTTAAGGACGTCCGTGGACGTCTTTTATAATTTATGACTATTGTCGCGGCAAAGCAGGGTCAATAACACGAAGCGAAACCTCTTGTAAGATGAAGCGGCTCTTTCAAGACGCGCTTCCGCCGACGGACTCGAAGTATATGGTGTGTACGTTTACACAATTAATTTTCTCATGGATGGTGTGTGCGTTTACACATTACACCAATGAATTGTTAGTACATTTACGAAGTTTACGTAATGTTTCAGAGAAAATATAGTACCTAAATTAATATTAATTTCTACGCATTATAAACTGAAAAATATCTATTTTTAAATCTCAAAGTGTAGAGAAGCGGTGCTTCCCCAGCTTCCATGGACCGCACGCCCCTGATTTAACCTATTTTTATGACCTGCAAATAATATTTAGAAAAAACTCAACGCAGGAGTGCGTTTAGAAACCCCGCACGGCGCGTCTGACCACATGCATTAGAATAGGGCCCAGACGCGCCGTGCGGGGTTTCTAAACGCACTCTAGTAAAAACATATGTCAAATTTATTGATGTTTTTGTTAAAAGTTTGGTTAGAATTAAATGTCAGTGGAACTAAAATGACATCACACTAAACTGGCGTATTGTTCAATAACGGTGATCGTGACGAAGAATTACCATACTACCTTGTATTATATGTTTTCATAACGACTATCCATTTCTTTTAATCAAAATTGAAACAAAAAATATAAATAAATAATTAAACGCGGTAGACGATGCGCAGTTTCCGTTTCATGTCAAGATAAATACCTAGCTGGGGGTCGATTCTCGACTTGTAGGAACCTTTTCCTATTAGGCATTCCAACGACCTGTCAAACAATAGGTGCCAGTGGGAAATTCTTGTATATCTAAGGGGGGTAGCGACATAGTATTGCAACTTGGACGCTATTTTTATTCAAAGTAGTATTCGCCAAGCCTGCCAATTTATGAAGAAATGTATAGGTGGGTTTTTTAAATATTATTTTTATTGTGTTTGACATAAAATATTTAAATGTAATCCATTATTCATGATTTTACGTAAAGTAGATAGAATACACCATATGTCGCCACCCTTAGATATACCAAACCTGCCCACTGGTAATTCATTTGTTTGGAATGCCTAATAGGAATTTGTGACACTTTCCCATATGTAGGAAAATGTCATAAATTTTCGATGTATGTAAAAATGTCAAAAATTCCTATAGGAAAATATTCCTACGAGTCGAGAATCGACCCCCTGGTAGTGAATAAGTTATTATGGTTATATGGCATCTACCCACCGTTCCACCAACCGTATGTTTAAGCCATCCTAATTACGACAAAAATCCTTGATATCGAACCACAAACATGTGATCGATCAATTTTAGACATTTTTGTCAAAATTTTCGGCATGGATGACATTTCACCTGTCAATGTTTCAAAAATTCTTGAAAGTTTGGAGCAGAAATCCAAACCCCAACTGCCCGTAATAAGTTCGAATCGTATATTAAGAAAAGCAGCACGTATCGTTCAACTTGTAGAAGCTGAGTAAGTTTTTTAATATCAAAAGAAACCTATTATATAAGCTTTATCTTAGAGTTAAATCGAAAAACTGGAGTGTGGCATAATTTAGGCTATAATGACTAAGAAACATAAATAAATTTGCTTTTTTGGAGAGGTTTAAAAGCAAGAAATTTGTCAATGTTTAAAGAAATGCTTCTATGATTTATCGTGCTAAGAGGCTTGCATATATTAAATGAATATATGAACAACATAAAAATACCTGTTTATTTTTAATGTAACAGTAGGTACGAAAACTCATTTCAATATATATCACACCCGAATGAATTTTAAATTAAAGATACATATCTACGCTAAATAAATTGGTTTTTGCCGTAAATGTTCAAGTGTTTTGAAAGCTCTTTTGCCGTCAAGTTTATTTTATTTATGATACGGAGTGCTATAGAATTTATCTATTAACTACAAATGAAAACTGCTTTCAGTATAGTTTAAAAATTATGAAAAATAAACTACTTATCAAAATAATCTGAACACCAAGAAATATTTAATATATTTTTCTAAAATTTGGAATGTTATATTCGTACATACCTGTACATCAATATATTAGTATTCAAATAAATCCGATAAAACTAGACTATATTTTGTATTTTTTTATCGTTATGGGCCTTGTTTATTTTAATTTGTTGGTTAGTTTTATTGGTATTGATGGGGTAATAAAAGCCGTTTGAAATAATACATCTCAAATTTACGAACAACGCTGTTTTTTATTTTAATTTAAACCAAATAGGAATGTTCATTTTGGTCGGTTTTAGCGGATAAAATCGACCACATAATTGGGTAAAACCGACCACGTCGTCTAAAAACGACCAACTCTCTGAAACTTTTGCCAAGTTTAGCATTAATGTAAAATAACAATATTATTTTGCAAACAACAAAACATTAAGATAGATTATGACGAAGAAATTTATGTTTCTTATACTTCTAGCTCTTATACTTCGAAAAAATGACAAATATAAAGTTGATTCGTTTCAATACCAGCACACTCTGCATGTGATGATTTTCCGCAGACACAAGTGACCCACTAATCGTTATCTTTTCCAAATTCTTCGCAGACTATGCAAGGTTCTGTCGCAATATCTTTTACCTTTTTTTTCCTTTTATTGATTCTTGCATTTGTTGGGAATCTTCTTCCAATTTTCTTTTAACCGTCGTGGTTTTATTTAAAGCTTCTTCTCTATTTTTTCTTATATTCTCCTTGATTTCTAATTCTTCTTTATTCGGTGTAATTGTGAATATTTGTGAATGTTGTTTTTTTTTTCCATTAGACAGTTTTAAGGATCTTAGGACACGAGGAACGGGCATTAAATCAACAAAGGAAATATTGGCACTAACGGTTTTATCTCCATCGTCTGTATCATTATAATCAGTGTGTTCTTCGAGATCATTGGTACTATCGCCAGAATCACTACTTATGCTATTTTTTCTACAATCTTTTTTTGATAGACACGCCTCAAGAAGGTCTTTTTCAGAAATATTTGCAATTTCTCCTTTTTTGCTTCACATACTAGCTGCTTTACCTCATTCAGCATTTCATTATTTCTATTGGTTTGATTTTCATCTGCTTGTTCTTCAACTTATTCCGTATTCACAAACTCTTCTGTGCTAATAACGTTTTGGTTCAGAGGGTAAATCCCCGTATCACGCTGATTATTTAAATTTAGGAGAAGTAAAACGTTTTACTGTTTCCACTCCATGCAAAATAAATCTTAAAAACCCGCTATAATCTGTACGGTGTTGTATGGTACAATTCCCCGTCCATACTGAGCACGTATTGTGCATTGCCTCCTTTTGATGTACCGCTAACACAAATGGAACGAGGCGAGGCCGTACGGCGCACACAACGAGGCAATTTGCCGAGCCTCGGAAGCCCATCCACATCTGCATGCTCATGCGTCCTCGGCTTGCCTCATACGCGTACGTGCTCAGATCTGTACACACCTTTAGAGGAATTGAATACCCTTAAAGTGCATTATTTACAGAACTCTGGAGTTAGTGGAACATTTCAATCATAAAACAGGTCCTCGTTAACCCAGCCGTTTTTAGACGTTTTGAATTAACTGGTCCATTTTTCAAGTTCATATTAGAAGAAAAAAACACAGCAACCTCTTTTGCATTGAAGCCCGTTATTCTATTTAGCGGTGTTGGCTCTGGTTTTCTTAATGAAATATTTTTATTACGACGCAAAAATCGATAATACCAATCCTTGCCGCAAGTCTTCTTTTCTTTATTAAAATTTAGGAATACCACTTACCGTAGCTTATTGCAAGGCAAGTTTCGTTATTTGCTGCCTAGTTAGCCCATAAAACAACTTTGACATCTCAAGGACGTAGTCATTCAACTCTTTTTCTTGCTCGGCAGTCAAAACACTGGATCTACCCAGTTTCTTTTTATTTATTGGAACTTTACCACGAAGACGATCTTGAAGAGTTCCATAAGGAATATCGTACATTTTTGTTGCACGTCTTTTACCAAGACCACCCTTAACAGCATTTAGTGCTCTGTTCATATTTTATAGGTTCCAACTTGCCCGTGTTGTTTTACGTGTGTATTTTAAGGGCATAATTATTTCTAAAACACAGAAATAAAAATGTTCAGTACTTTTTCGGGTAAAATTAACCATGCGGATAATATCGACCACCAAGGTCGGCTTTACCCGCCATGACAAGTCATGTGTATAAGATTAGGAACGAAAAAAATGGTTGCTACATATCATAAGAAGTATACTCTTTCAATAACAAAATACATAATACGTATATTTTGTGTAATATTCAAAAACACTTGGTTGCTTTTCCCCCCTTTCCCCTAATCTACGTGTAGAAGGACCACAGAATATTTTTTTATATTTTTCCAACTTAAAACTCCGAAAAATCGAATTTTCCGACCAAGAACTCGGAAAAATAGATTATTCTGATTTAGAACTTGGATTTTTCTGACTTGTAACTTGGAATAATAGATTATTCCAACTTAGAACTCATAATAATAAAATATTCCAATTTACAACTCAGAAAAATTGATTTTTCATTCTTCTAAGACGGAACAATGTCTTGATAGGTATATGGTTGTATCTCTACAATCAAATAAGCGGTTGATCAATAACATTTAATATCACAGATTACAGATAGTACTGAAAATTGGTTATGGATGTACATGAAGGCACAAGTTTACAATGGACCAAGTTGTTTTTTTTTTTTTAATGATGCAACCTGAATTTTATTTCATTTTGGGGTCATAGGAACTAAATAAAGGCGGCATTGCAGCCTGCGGCCAGTTAAAGGTTCTACTATTTCCCATTCACTTACTCATTCATCGTCATTTATTTGACGCCGTTGATGGTTAAACGCCACTCGGCTAAGTCTCATGATGGCATGGCCCAAGGTGGAACATACCAGCTGAGAACGTGGATGCACATTAATCTCGCGGCTAGCCTCTCCGACTTCCTTTACCCAAAAAAATGTTTTGGACGATGGGCACTTTTAATAGATAAGTGAAAATAATTGTTTTGACTTGAAGAACCCACAAGATGATGAAGTAACGATAATTTTTGCACGAGCTAGGACGAATTCTTGAATGGAGCTCGCATCTGAATTTTATATTAGAATCAAAAAGGTAAAAGGTACAAAAAACGATCAACAAGACCACAGTTCTTGAGATATCTATGAGACATTTTGGTAAGACCTATACAGAAAGGTTCAAACTAATACAAAAACGTACACTTAAAGTAAATTAAATAATTGCTTTGACTTTGGGTGAAATTTTTGGTGTAAACGTAGGTACTGTAAGGATACAACTATTAATACGTTTTTTGGAGTTCTAAGTCAAACAAATGTGACCCTTCTATAATTCCGTAAAAAAAGGCAAAAAAGAGTTTTCAAAATAGTTCTTTAATGTATAGAGTGATTCGGTTACATAATATGCAATTTGCATATGCAAAAATCGAAAGTAATCGACCATTTGAATTCATTCAATAAAAAAAAAATGTGTAGATTATTGTCACCCGCGCGATTCCCGATTCACCGTTTTCAAATATTTCTCATGGTCTAAATTATCGCCACTCTGTATATGATTTTAACAACCTGTATCACTACTCAGTGTGAATGTGTTAATTTGGATTGATTTAATCGAATAAGGGAAATCAGAACATCTGTCGTTTACTACATACTATCGTCGGGATTATAACACATCTTATACCATATCGGGTAACATTGTTGTTGCAAATCGGTTAAAAATTACAACAATAATGGTTTGACCAGTTGCCTTCTAAGGTGAATCGTGCACAGCGATCTTCGTCATATGTGTGCTACTTTAGTTTGGACACTGATTACGTTTACACAGACTACCAACATGTTGATCGTAGTCTTTTTGAAAGATTGGAAAACTAATAACAGTATGTAATACTTTTTATTATTGATTTATCGATAAAAATAAGTAATTAATTCAGAATATAAAAAACAGCCAATATACTTACACCACCTTTTTACTCAAATGCTATGCTTTTTAAATCCAAAGTTATAAATAAAGAAATTTTTGAAGAGGTAGAACCTTTTTTTTGAGAAGCTCCTCAGAAAAATATATACAAATGACCTTTTTTTCAACCTGATCCCCTGTCTCGCTTTTCTCTTTTGTAAATCTGGCAATCTGGCCTTGATTTCACCTGCCATTTCATGAACTCCATTAAATCTAAATTAAGGTTGAAGCTCCCAGATTTTATATGCGACATATTTTATTGAGTACCACTCTGTATTATTTTTCTATAAAGAGGTTTTCCCCTTAAATAAATGATTCACTTTCCGATTGTGGTGCATACAATATTTTTTGTGCTGCCACTAATAATTTGACAATAATATAGGAACAAAATATTTATTGCTCAAAATTTATAACAAAACTTAACTCATTTATTATTAACATCTACTGACAGATGGCTACGGTATTGTCATGGCAACTGTGATATTAAGCCTTGGTTTCTTTGA